CCCACACAAGACGTGAGGGAGGTGGGGCGCAGGTTGTCGACATGGGGTGGTTTCCCCGGCTTGGGAACGAAACGCACCTCCGCTTCTTTCCACTCTTTTGGTAACAAACCCTTCTCCCAGGATGTTTTGGCGAGGTTCAGCAGTTCCGCTCGGCTTTTGTCACTCATATTTGTAAGCATCTTGTATGTAACGCCGTTAATGCCCGGTGCGCTGCCTTGATTACTTTCATCGATGGCCGCAATCAGGTCCAGTGCGGCGAAGGCTTCGTCCATCTCGAAGTTGTTATCCCCTTCGTACTCGAAAATCGGGTCACCGCTCTTCTCGGTCTTGAGGTATTTACTGGTGAGTTCTCGGATAAGCTTCTCCCCGTCCCCGTCGTAGCTGTTGATCGTTCTTGTGAGGTCTCGATCGCTTGGACTCTTGTTTTTTAACGGATCTATGAGGTGCCGCAACAGCTTCCAAGTCTTCTTCGTAGAGACACTGTGCTTTGCAGGTCTTCACACATCTTCATCCAGTTTTCCCTGGATAGCTGCTCCACATACTCGGCCGCCTGCTTGTTAAGCGCATGTATACGTCTGCAAAGCTTCTTTTTACGTCTTTGCCTCTTCCATCTTCGAGTAAGACCATGCCTGGTTACCCACTTGTGGCTAATCTTGCTGTCTACGAAGAGAACCTGCATAGTCGTAGTAATCTTCCGTGTAAATTTCTTGACAAACACGCGTTCCTTCTTGGCCCACGCCTCATACGTCTTGGTGTCTTGGTCCTCGTCCTCGCCTTCACTGTATGCGCTTCTACGTAACCGGTCCTAGTCTGTAATGTTGGCTTGGCCCAGTTTCGCCTTGATGCCGGTCTCCCCGAGGGTGACACAAATGATGTCGTGATCTGAGCCAAGATTCTCCCTGTGTTACGCCAAGTAACGTCGTGGTTATTCCGAACTAACGTCAAATTAGGAGTGGTGTCTCTGACCGTGCTTGTGCCTGTCCTGGTCGGCACGACCGGTTCGTTTACCACCTCCATGTCGTGATCCTCTATAGCTTTTACCAATTGGTTTCCTCTTTTGGACGAATATTTGTAACCCCACCTCGTACGGGCTGCGTTCAAATTTCCTAGCACTAAAATCGGTCTTCTTCTTGCTTCTGTAATGCAGTCCAATATGGTGTCTTCAAAGTCAATGAACCTGTTAAATGGTCGACAACACTCATTCAGGACGAAAATGTTCTTTTCACCCCCCACTCTACTGCTGTGAATTTCAATGAGTGTATGTTCGCAGCCTCGCTGAGCGGTCACGTGCTGTGTGGCCGCCATGTTGCTGCGGACCAAGATCGCAGTACCCTTTTCGCTAGGGTCCGTATACGTAACGTATCCCTCGAGCTTGACCCGGCCGTTGGTCTTTTGTAACGCTATGATATCCCGTTTCTGGTCCAATATATCGACGTATAGTTGTAACTCCCCTTTTTTGTTTCTAATTCCCCTACAGTTCCATTGAAGTAACGTAGAAGTTTCTTTTTGCTTTCCCTTAGTCTTCTTCATTTTCTATTTTTTTTTGAGCAGTAGAGTTGTGCACGGAGCCAACTTCTCGAGGCCTGACCCGTAGATTAACTTATGATGACTTCATCTTGGCAACCGTGAGATGCTTAATTTTCGCATTCAACGTCATGACTCTAACGGAAAGTTGTCTGCGTTTGGCCTCCACATTATCCATTCTTACCGTTAGGCTGTTCACTTTTTCAGACAGTTGAGAAACTTGTTTGGAGATTTGCGTAAGCATGCTCATGACCGTCTTTATTGTCGGAGGAACGGCGGCCTCGGCCTCCTCTTCCTCCATGGCAACAACTGCCGTTTCTATCTTTGGAGATTGCATCTGTGACTGCGTCAACGCCTGTGGCTTGATCAGCGCCGGTGGCGTGATAAGCGCCGGCGGCGTGATCGCCTTCGGCGGCGCCGGAGCAGCGCAGGTGGTGTCTCTCTTGGCTACTTTCCTTTTAGCTACACAGACGTCAATACCGTTGTTCTTTGCTCTAGTGAGCGCATCGATACGCTCCATCATTGCCTCTATCTGATTGTTTTGGCACTTTATTTGATTGTTCTGCATCTTTGTCATCTCCTTGAGTTCCGAACAGTGTCTACGCTCTTTGTCTTCGGAAGAGGAGGGGGAGCGAAGAGGAGGAAAATTGCTATTGTTGAGAGCGACGGATGACCCCGCTGCCCAGCCCACCTGTTTCTCGGCGCCATCGCCCCACCGGGTCTTCGACCTAGACCTCGAACGAGATTCGCGCCTGCGAGCCCCAGCTGCCGATGGTGACCTGGTAGCGCTCTTGCTTCTCCCTCGCCTTGTCTGGGAGCGGCTTCGACGCTCGTCCGACGACCGCCACATTGTCTGCTGCCACCCTGACCCCCTCGGCTGCTGCTGCTGCTGCTGCTGCTGCACCTCTTCTTCTCGTTGCTGACGTTCTTAACGCCGTTCACGAAGTACGTATGGCGTCTTGAACCTTGCTTTACATTCCTTGTCCGTGGTGAGGTGGTGGTCCCCGCAGAGTTTGCACTCGGGGTTACTGCAGGCGTGGTTTTCTTCGGGATTCTTCATGCCGTGACCACGGCATATCCTGTCTTCGGGGTTAGGGCAAACGTCGATCCGGTGACCGAGGCAACCACACCGGTAGCGCATATCGATCTGCTTGCGATCCAGCGAACACTCGATCAGCAGGTTGCCGACGAATGCGATGACCACCGTCGTCGTCTTGCCGATACGGTTGGCTTGCATAGCAGTGGGATTATAGTCTTTGAATGATGAAGTGGTTGGTTTTTGCAACAGAGTCCGTCAACACAACACCCCTGATGACGCCCTTAACGGTGCCGTGGGGAGCGGTCTCGTGCGCGCCGACTTCGTGTGCCATGCCGTTAATAGTGAGGCTTCTGACTACCGAGTAACGGTCTGCGTTCTCTCGTTTCTGCGTACTAACAGCGACTATGTTTTGCTGCCTGTTCGGGCAGATAACGTCTTGCGTCACGTCCTCGCCACTCACGTTCGCAGCTGCGACGATGGCTCGGCTGTTCTCGAATTTAGAAACTTCTCCAATGTTCAGACCTCCCCTGGGGCGCATGACAATCTTGATATCTTGCGTCGGCGACGCAGGCATCCTCGCTGCCATGAGTAGCTTGCTCTTGTGATTTTTCCGCTGCGGGCGACGATGCACGGCAGCCGCCGGTCCCCCGTTGACCCGCGTAAGACTTAGCCATGCTCTGTTGCCCCTAAATCCTCTTCTGCCCGCGGCGACGCGCCAGCCAAACTTCTTGAAAACTTTTACCGGCATTATTTCTTCACCCTCCACTTCTACGCGCATTGCGGACGCCATTTGTTTTAAAAAAAAACTTCGCCTCTAGGACCCCGGTAAGGTCGATGACCCGCCGGAGCACGCCTAGGCACGGCCGCTAGACCTAACTACTTTTAGGCTTCACTCGCAGCGATATGGTGCTCGTAGAAAAAGTCCTCCGAAATCGGAAAAAACGGTTTCCCACCTGAAATGTTGGTATCCACATGGTCCTTGCAACTTCACGAATGCCGTTGTGTAAAAACTTGCATGGGTTAGGGTGACCTTTTGCCGAAAAATTGATGAGCCGATGGGAGACATTTCCATACTCTACGGTGACTTCTTTTCTTTAGCTAGATTAACTGCGGCACTACTCAATACACCCCATACCAGCTGTTTCACCATAAGTGCGAACAAGTGGGAGTGCGAGCTACAAGAACGTGCTCCGGGCTTTCAACGTCTCTGTCTTGCGAGAGGGCACGCTTGCGCAGTGCAGCATCAATTGGGGCGATGCACTCGTGCTTGTAGCATCTGCTGTGACCGCCCGAAAAGAGACAAAATGCTGTAGGCTGGATTCTGGAGTGTACAAAATGGTGGCGATGCTTGTTGTGCAACGATGAATCGATCGACCAACGCGCACAACGACGGGTTTTTCGCGAGCACGCAGATGCCTTCGTAATGCACGACGACTGTTTCCGAAAAGCGCAGTGCGATGGCTGTGACCAGCTGCGTTACGAGAGACGGCGATCATGATGACCGTCAATCAGCAGGTACTAATGGAGTTTTCTTTCCAGAATGCGTAGTGCGCAAGCACGCAATTCGCGACTCTTCTGCATGGTTTCGAGACTGCGTGCCCAAAAGTGATCCGCCATCTCGTATGTTGGGCACAAGCTTCATTTACTTGGTACTTTTTTGAAGGGAAAAGCCTTTTTTTTTTTTTATTTGCGTGGGCAAATTTGTTTTAAATTCAGCCGTGATCAGCCTCCTCCAAAGTTAACACAAAGTGACACACACAAGTATATTGACGAAAAGAACAGGAGAACGACACTTTTGATCCCGCGGAAAGAATAAATTTCAACGTAACAACAACCGCCATGGCGTCGACGCTTCGTGAGCTTATCTGTTTCAATTCAATGCTTTGTTATTTATTTGATGACATTAAACTATTTTCGTCTGCACGATTGACACGGTGCGGGCTACCAGCTTCTATTGTAACTGTGTTTTTCTCGTGAGGCGAGCGGTATGGAGCTCGTGCCGCAGCAACGTAGTGTTTGTTTGAAAGTACAGCGCTGTCCTGTAAGGTTCGCACGGGTAGGGGTGTGGCGAGTCGGTGGTCTTCCTTATGGCTCGTTCCATCACGCTGAAATTTTCATACATGACGTAACAGTGTCGCGTTATGCTACATGCCTCAGTGACCGCAGTGCCACGGAAACGCCGTCCGCCGCATTTAGAGCGAATTTAGTGTCCCGTGACGTCACAGATTCACATAAACGCCTTCTACTACATTTAGTGAAAATGTATTCTCATGAGACGTGACAGCGTCACATGAACGCCGTCTGCTAACTTTAGCCGGACACAATCTCGCAAAATTTGTATACAGCCATGTAACTGTGTGCAGCGGTGTGCAGCGTCTCGGTTGTTTGCGCAGTACATTTGCGCAACGTGCTGAGGAATCGAGAGTGTTTGCCTTACCTTTGAACGCGAACGGTGAATCCCTTTCCGTGCATTTGGTCGCACTCCAGGTCCGCAGCCGCCACTTGAACCTCGCACGCGCTTTCCTCGTTTCCGAAGGTGAGCGCCGCCGACTTGTGCCGCGCGTGGATTGACAGTTGAATCGAACCTGGAAAAGCGGGTTTGATAGAGACGACAAATAAAAAAACAGTCATACGCCCACGCCACATGTCTCGTATACTAGGACAGAGAATGGACGGTCTGGTACAATCTGGTGCAAAGACACCATATTGTAGGTAAAGATCCTTGATTTCGGGTTCTATTTTAAATGTGTTGGCATTTATTCCCCTGGTGCATGCAGCCGCCTTTCGTTTGGACGGTCATGGCTTGGATATCGACTGGACTGGGCTCGTTTCGTGAATCTGTAGCACGGTTCTCGCCGTGCTCTTTCGCTCCGTTCCTTCGCTCCTTACAGCCACTTTCCCTCTTACAAGGGGGAAAGAGTCTTCTGGAACGCTTCCAATCACGCGCCACGGGAGCGGGAGAGGAGGGGATCGAGCGGCCGTGGAGTTGACACAACGTGCGTGACAGCATAAAACCGAGGCACAGCGACGACGGCGTTTGCGCGAAACCGCCGAAACATGGGAGGAAAGATTGGCTCTTCGAAAGCAGTATATGGACCGTTGCGAGGTTGGAATTCCCATCTTTCGCCAAGTTGGAACCCCTATGCTGAAGGCTAACACATTTCTACGATCAGCGTAGCACAACCGCATCAATTCCGGCATTTTTTTTTCGTTTTTTTTTTTATTTTTTATTTGCGGTTGTCTTTTTGGGCGCCTGTGGTCAAGAGATCTAACGGGTCAATGGTCAAGAAAAGTCAAGAAACAATTAAAAGGGGCGAGTTAAAGTGTGACAGAGTGCAATTCCAAGGCCCAACCAGCTTACCGGATCCGATGTACATCCTGAGGAAACTTCCAGATATAAGGTCCTGCGTCCTAATCAGTCCGTAGTCGATTGGCAGCATTCTCATCTCAGGGGCGTACAGACTTCCGTAGTACAGCCTGCACCCGTGCAAAGACGATGCTATTTATTAGAGGAGGCTCAAATTACGAAATATCGCGTTAATGCAAATGAATATTGCCGCCACAGATACGAGAAAAGGATATAATTTTTCCCATCAGCGTGAGTGTAATATAGCGATGTCCCGTTAATATGGACACCTCTGTTCCACCCTAAAAGCATTCATAATATGAGTTGTTCGTAATAAAAAGAAAATAATGAACGAATTTACGCCGTCTGGCTCCGAAAATATCTTCTATATGTCGGAGTGTACATATCAACGGGGTCAGTAACAATACCTATACTGTACTGCGATTCCTACTACCACTACTACTATAACAACAAACTACTCGTAAAAATAATAACAATAATAATAATATTAGTAGAAGTAGTAGCAGTAGTTCTAGTAGTAGTAGAAGTAGCAGTAAAAGCAGTAGTAGTGGTATTATTTCTGCTTGATTAATTTAAGCAGTCATTGCTATGGAGACTGACATCTTTGGGAAAGCGTACTAAACAAAATCTGCCCGTTCTTTTCCCGCAGGAAACGGAAACAGCCAATCACTGGGAACAACAGGAGGATCCCAGCGTTTTCCGCAGAAATACACGAATATGATTCCTTGGAATTTTGAAGGACAAAGATAACAAAAGATGCTGCATTTTTATCGTGTTTCTTGTAACTTTTATATAAGCGAAATGTCGTCGTGTTCCATTTGAGCGTCATTTATCATCCATTCGCCAAGAAGAGATTGTGTCCGGATCTTCACATCTGCACTAGCTTGTCGTTTTCATTTATCAAATATGTCACAAACACAAACAAAAAAGTCTTACGTCGCGGGATGAGTCCTATGAACACAATCACCGTCATTTCAAGCGCTTCCCGTGTTTTATGGTGTTTCAGAGAACGCAGGCCAAATTGCTCCTGCGAAAACTACTTATCGCAACGAAGAAAGGCTTGTGGCGTTTTGGTCCTGGGGTAGGGGCCCATTTAGGAAAATGATTAAAGTCCGGGATAATTACGTTGTTAAGTATTTTTGCGTAAATAATTTTTTAATATTGTGTTTAAGGGCATGGTCTAAATTAGAAAATTGCTCAGCGTCATCGAAAAACACTAAATCAACAAACTGCAAAACGATAGAAGGCACGCGAAGCATCTTACGGCTTTCTGATTGCTATCGGAGCGCATCTCAGCCCCGGCGGCACCGCGCCCTGTGGAGAGATAGTGCAACCAGCCTCTGCTGCGTCGCGCGATGACAGTTTTAAATTTAGGCTCCGGGCTTCGCTGTTTCCAAAAGAGACAACCTTCGGTGCTATCCGATCTCAGCGGAGAGAGATAGAGCACGGCCGTTTTAAAGAAAGGGCGCTCGAAGCTTGGGCAAATACGCGGTATTGTTTCGCGCGTGCACGCGTGGCTGGTTTCAAAATTTTCCCACATCCCTAAAGAAACCGGCCCATCTTTGTGTGTGCGTCTGCGAGATTTTTGTCCCGCGCCGCCGGTTTCAGCGCGCACGCGGCGTTGTTTTGCCCGGCAGAACTGTTGTTGACCATCGATATTGTGAGGCCGTGGTGTCCTCATCCTCCCAGGCAACAGTTCCTTTGCTTTCCCTTCTGCAATACTCTGACTGACTGACTCCTCCTGGGTGACCGCCACTGTTCACCGTGTCAACTCACACATTCGTACCATTTCAGTCCTCGTGACATAGGTTACGCTGCTCGCTTTATTGTCACGGGCCGTCCTATCTAACACAACGAGCGCGAAAGGTCGTGCTCATCTGCTGGTTTTGAAAGGGCGGTACGTTCATATAGGCCAATGAAGGCCCCGAATCAATACGACGTCTGCCGATTTCTACACATTAAAATGTACGATGCCTGCTGGTCTGTTAAGAAGTGTTGCTTTCTCTTTTAAACTCATCCAATGTAGCTTGCCGCCTATAATAAAATTTATATTATCGATAAATGTAACAAGGTGGAACTACTGTAATTCATTTTTGTATGGGAACGTTGAAAAAAGGCGAAAATATTTCCAAGTTTGTGACGACGCGCAATTCGGAAGTCCGTTTCGAGCCGTAAAAACACGTTTTTGTACGATATTGATGCTTAAATATAGAACATACAAACAAAATACACAATTTCTCGACTTGCTTTTTGAATATGTAACTATCATATCTAAATTTTAACAAAAAACAAAAAATAAATAAAAAATGTTTTTTTTTTTAGAAAATCGATTTTAAAATTGGTACTTCTTGGTTTTAGCATGATATTAACGTAAATGTACCGCAAAGGAAACTTTATACAGCCTGAGTGATTTTATAATATATATAAAGAGCGTGTTTTGACCATTCATAGACATAAAAAGTATCGACGTAACCCAGTAGATCGGAAGTATTTAATTGTCAAAGTTCATCAACAATTAACGGAGGGGGCGTTTTTGACAGTTTTACAGAAACAAGCAAAGCGCTTAAAATTATTTTATGGCATTAGAGCCTTTTACCTGCTCTCGAAGAGTGCTTGAAAAAGGTAATATAATATGGACTCAAAATCCACGGCGGGAGATCGAGCGAAACATCCGACCCACGACGGATGTGGAAAACACGGCTTTCCGCCGCGGCCTCTTTTAAAATTCGTAAATCGAGAACAAAAAATCCCTAGAACATGCGGTTTGTGGCTACTGCGTTTTTTGAAACGACGCCATAACATTTTTTTTTTTTTGCGAAAGTAAAATTTCTATTTTTTTTTGCCGGCAAGATTTGAGATGAAATCACCCCATATATATATATATATATATATATATATATATATTGTGGGGATCCGTCCGGCCGCCTCACCCTGGAGTCCCGTCTTTCCCGCATTTCCCCCGCTCCTTCGCCCGTTCCCCCGCGCCCTGCCAGGGCCGAACATTCCTGCTCACCCGGATCCTTGGAGGGGGGAGCGTCACCGTACGGCTCGTGGATCGTGCGGGACCCGTGGCAGGGGCGTGGGTGTTCACGTGGACGGGTCGTGGTGGGCACGTGGTCGGTGGTGGGGCGAGGATATAAAAAGGGGAACGGAGACAAAGGCAGGCTCTCTCTTGCTGCCGACTCGGGGATCAACGAGTCACGGAGGCGAGCTCGGACGGCGGTGGACGCTGGCGCGGGGAGTGCGGGCACTACGTCGAGTAGCGGACTCGACAAACGCGCCGGACAGCGACTCTGGACGACGACGTCCCCATGACGCGGTGTCGACGACCACCGCTGGGACTCGGAGAAGCTGCTGTGGCCGCGGACTTTCCCCCGGTCTCGGTGATGACCGTCTCCCGATCCCGAAACTCCCCCAAGGAGTGAGTGAATAAACCCTTTTGCCGAGAGCGAAGTATTGCTGTGTCATATTCATCCGGGAACAGGGTCCGTGGGAATCGGAGCTAGAAGCCCGCAATATATATATATATTTCTTGTTCAAGCAAAACTTCAGTGTCGCTCAACTTCTTTAGAACTGCCAAGTATACCCGACCAAGCTAAAACGAAGGAACGTTCAGAAGCACTTCGTTCGCATGAGTGATAGGTACTTCGATCGTTATGTGCGCTATTTTTGTAGGTTTCAGGTGACGGTTCCCTTCAGTTTCAACTTTCGATCAATGGCAATCTCGATATTTTCGTTATCTTTTAACACAAAATTAATTTTATTGCTTATCTTTTTATTAGAAATCGTCACGAACGACCGTCTTAAAGGGACCGATACGCTGAAAGTGTTACAGGGCGTTAGGGTTATGTATAAAGCTTACAAAGGCCTATGTCAAATCGACGCAACAAAGACGCCCCGGCAGGGCTTGAGCCTCAGTCGGTGTGGTGGCAGCGGGGTACGATAACTACTGAACTGCGAGCAGAGCTGCTCTGGGCGTGTAAATAATACTTGAATGCACACGTGCCGGCGAGAGCGGCACGTTTTGAACGAAGCTACGTGATAAAATAAAAGAAGAAATAAAATGGGTGCAAAGATTATTCGGTAATAAAATAATTAGTATCTTACAAAATGAGTAGAAAACTTATAGTATAATATAATAAAATAATAATAAACTCGAATATACAGATTATGAATAAAACAAAAACAAAATAAAGAACTGAAGTAATACTTTCACTAATGAAATAAAAATGTGAATACAAAAAACAAAGATATTAGTTTAACTAATAAGAAAAAATAAAAAAAGTAAAGGGTGGATCCTTAGGGAATGCGTTAGCATGACCCTTTGGAAACGCCACACACGTGCCCCTTTTGGAAACGCTAACGCTGGCCCCTTCACCTTTCTGTTTTGGATTTCTCTTTTGATTAATCTATATCTTGCTGCCTCTTTTTGGCTTCGTTACGAGGTCAGTATTGGTGCTTTCCAAAGAAGGACGCGTGTGGGGTTTGCCATGGGTCATGCTGACGCCATAGAGTTATTATAATGTACGCTAGAGGTTCAACTGGCGCTAGTGTCTATGCGACTTCCGGGAGGCAAATTGAAGCAGACAGCAACCAGCCTACTTTTGCGGTGCTCCTGTGCATTCCTATCGGAAAACGCGCGTGAAATTTGCCTCTTCGCCGGAAAATAACACAAATGGCTTTTATTATTTCGGTTGTACCGGATAGTATGTACACTTATTAATATTGTAAAAGTGTAATTGCTTTAATTACAGCATTTTTCTTTACCACTGAACGATGTTAAGCTTCGCTATATTTCAAGCCCAAACCTATGTTCCATGGCAGGTATGTAAAAACAAGCGACGATTCTAAGCAAACTAACGATCGAAAAGAATGTAGAGTGTGTTCAAGGTTCGCTAGCATTGCGGTGGCGCTTATATATTGCTAATATGCCGGCCTGTCACTCTATGAAAATGACTCCGTCGTGCATCTTTACGACGGTTAAAAAACATTCGAATGTAAGAAATAAAGTACGTGGACTACGAAAGGTGTGCCTTTGTATTATTTCCTATGTCGGGCAGTTTTTATCGGGCCCCTGTTCTCTGACTTCTCCCTATTTGCAAAGATTTGGAGCGTGCGGTTGATGATTTGAACCCAGAACATGCATCTTCGCACATATTCATGAGCAGAAAGAATAAAGCAGTACTTATTTATTGCAAATCGGACTATATTAGGTGGCTTTCAATTTATTTTGATCGCCTGCATGCTCAAGGAGTTACTTATTCAATGTTACTGCGTAGTTCTTGCCGTCTCTCTTGGTTTTCCACATGTCCTTCGTTCGTTTGACACGTATATTCCCATGGCGGAAAGCGCCGATGCCGTGTTCGCGCTAACAGTGTCCGACAGTGCACATAAATACACGTACGAAGCCGTTTTAGCACCGTTTTGAATCCGATGAATTTGAAAGAAAAACGCCGTAACTGACCAATTATTTCGTCGGCCTGACTGAGAAATGTTCCAAGCTTCCTAGTACGTACGAATTATTCGTGATATTTGCTCTTATATTCGAGCGCGGAGACAAAATGTACTCGCTTTTTCCCATAGAAATGCATTACCGGCAGTCAATTTCCGACTGGTTGCTGTCTGCTTCAATTTGCAGCAGCACACTAGCGCCACTTGAACCTCTAGCGTTCATTATAATAACTCTATGGCCGACGCATACCCTAAAGATCCAACAATGGATCTTCCGTTAATTTACTTTTGCCACCTATTTGGACCAGCGCAAGTGCTTGGTTCACATTTCATTTTCTAGCACAAACCAAGGCTCCGTACACCTGCAACTTCAGACTCGCCACAGCATCCGCGCGTGCATTGGCTTCCACCCCGTGACGTGTGCTCCCTCTCGCCCTTGACCCTTCACAACTCTCCTCTCTACGCGGCGCGCCTCCCTTTCAAGTGTTTTGTCCACAGATGGACGCCGTCAGCTTTTTTCTCTCATGTGTGTACTAATGCCTACGATTATTAAGTAAAAATAAAGTAATATCTAAATAAATATATATGTATATAAAATAATTAAAAATCTGGCACTAAAAGCCCTGTCACATTGAGCAAACACAGCGCCGACATCAAAACATGATCTGCCACAGTTGATCAATCTTGTTCTCAGACACCTTGTTGCCCGACAAACCTGTCACCACGCGGGAAAATCAGCACAACATAGGCGACAAGAACAATGTTGCCTCGGTGTGACAGCTTTCGGCAACAAAACCACCAGCAATTATGTTTGACGACGCGTCTTGTTTTGTGCCAAATTTTGTGCCATTAACACGACAATAGAGATAGCGTTGATGGCAGAGTTCCCCGTGAATAACGTTTTTGTTTTTGTTTTTTACAGAGCTTACGGAAATAAAGGCATCTAGAACGCTATTTAACAATAATTGGCTGGCGTGCAGATACAATAATTTTACTAATGTTTTAACTGCGTAATTCCCGAAAGCGATTGCCGACATGGTCGTAGTTACGGTCGTGAAAGTTCAGACAGTTGTTGAAACTACAACTGCCGAGAAAACTGCTCACATTAATGCTAGAGAAATAAAACATGTCTATACTTACCCGTTGATAAAATTTTAAAAGAAATATCTACAAAAGACAATTATTTAACAAATCCCAGCATGAAAACGACAGCTTCTATCATGATTGTTGATGCTTGAAATTTTAAAACAGCCGCTACCAGGCACCTGAATTGTTTCAAAAATACCCAGGACGTTTTGGGGAATGAAATTATTACATAGCAGGTAGTAAAGGCAAATAGACAGTGTTGAAAAAGATTAATTCCACTTATCCTTATGAGAGCCGATCGTGTCGGCGTCGTAGTTCTGAAACACTGTCAGGTCAGCTCAACACCGCGCAACAAAAGAAAGACATTTTCGGGTACTGCCAGTGCTAAGTCAATTTTGCGCTAATAGGAATTTGGTAAGAGATAGAACCAGACAGAACAACCTCTTATAGTGGCGTAAATCATAAACATAGCAGCTATCTCATCTTTCTCACTTAGGACTAGCTGCTTCGTCAGCGATTAAGTAATGTTTTGATAAAGTTAAGAGCGGAAAATACTCCCCTTGTCAAGTTTTCTAATTACAGGCCCTGGTTGATGTAGTCCCGTTGTTACTCCCGGCCCTTCATACGCATTAGCACTCTGTAGATTCACATTTCCTGCGACGCCACGCCGCACACGAATGGAGCTAAATAATCAATATGACAGAGTGCTCCCCGAGTCGCAGCGCGCCGTCATCGCGCTGCGACAGAGTGTTCGACTCTCTGACAATATATCAGCGAACACGGTTGACGAGAGAGCAACTTAATCCATCAACAGGAGAGAAACATGCCTTGGGCATGTTTCCCTCCTGTTGATGGATTAAGCTGTCCTACCAATTCCCCCATCTGACAGCGCCTCAGCCACACAGGGAGAGTGGTTTATGCGGGCCACATTTTGTACACCCAAATGATTGTCACTATGCCTGTATATCTTTAATGTGTTAGCATTAGTGCCCTGTTGCATGCGCTGACCTTGGACGTCGTTGGAGCACGCGTTTATAGTTTTAGATGTCGGCAGCTTCGATAGCAACTAACTGTCTCGATCAATTATGTTACAAGTTCTGTGCAAGTCCTTCAGATCAAACGGCGTGTTTCATATCAACGATCGCGCCTCACTCTGTTATGCCTTTGTGGAGCATAACGCAGACGTCCATTATTTTTCCCAACGTTATTTTTTTTTTCTAAGAACTAAGGTTAGTAACTTGTAGTTTTTACCTGACGTTTGACCTACACATCGTCGTAATGGCTATTAGCCTCCCCTTGTAACCAGAAGGCTCGCGCTAGTGACATTTTGCGCTACTCAGACAGACTCCTCCAGTCTCAGTATCAGCGATGATTCTATACCCGTTTTCACCTCAAGAACCATAGTAAAAAAAGTCCGGCTTCTCGCGGATTATTACTGATTTCCCTCTTTATGCAGAGAATTAAGATATATGTAGGTGAATTATAGATTAGACATACAATATCTTATCAAGATGTACACGTTCCAAACGCCAAAAGTATCGCTTTTTCCTCCGGCAACCAAATCTCGTGAGAACTACTTCGCGCCGCGTATGAATAATGCGCAAAACTTGCTTTTTTCTTGAGGTGAAAACGGGTATAGCGGCTTCAAAACACGTGTCATCACTGCTGCGCAATGCCCGTCTAAAAGTACTCCACGTTTCACTTTATGATGAACCGCCTCGGAGGCTACGAGGCGCCCCAGCCAATGCGGTGCTCCCGCACGCGTCGCTGCGGCCCTTCCCGAAAGTCACGTGATACTAAAGCGGCATTTCATTGGCCCCGAGAGTTCGTAACGTCCGCTGCGCTTTATCGTATACAAAGATACCGAGAATACCCAGGTTAGCGCTCGTAGTGCCATAGCCGAAAAGCCCTCCGCAGCAAGCATGTGTACATTGAGAGTTTAATAACGTGCACATAGAACACTTCGTCTACTTTCCTATAGAGGACACGAATAGCCGATCACCGGTTTCTGCGTAAAAATCGTAGAGAATAGCGATATCAAAAACGATTCCACGTAAAAGAAAAAAAAAAACGCGACCTGCGCGCATAGAATTTTTGCGTGCAAGCGTTATCTCTGTCGCGTAAATCGTATATCAGTCCGTCGATCGCGATGATTGGCTATCCGCCTGTTCCGCGGGAAAGCGGACCCATAGGCCTTGTTCATAGACAGTGCGTCTGTAGACCTTTGCAATCGCCTTCTGCGCGATGCCACCTTCGTCCTCTGGGCTGTGGAACGTTTTCTGAGCATGCGCTGTAGCTCCGTGGTGCGGCATATCGAACGCTGTGCGTGCGTCCACAGTTCAGTGACTCAGCAGTGGTAAACACTTCCATGGCCTTGTATGTTCGCGCCTCTTGCTTCGTAATGATTCCTTCATCGGCGTTCATCGCCCAATACCACAAGCTCATCGACTGCGCAGCGATAAGAATATTCTCGGGGTTACCCACGCCCCGGTTTTCTTTACTTATAGGTCACTTTAGACCTGTTTTTTCCCCTTTTCGTGGCGGACGCCATGTTAAACTTTAACGTGCTGAGTCGGGGCAATATAGCGTATCGCTTTATTTGGCGATCGGAATGCGCTAGAATTACGGGGGATCGTGCCAATTGTTCTACTCTTTTTTTTTTTTTTTTGCTCTGCTTTTTTGTTGTAGTTCTTAAACTATTAACATTAGTTTTTGTCGCCCAACACAATACGTCATGTTTCAACGCGGTATAGCGTCACACGAAAACACTAACACACTGATTTACAAACACGCCCGCATTTGCCCACTCCGGGAAGTTGACAGTACAAAATGGTGGCTCTGAAAGCTGCACAGCAACGACTTTATGTCAAACCTCTTTCTCTCTCCCTTACCCTTCTGCGCCTCCATATTTGTCCGTGTGCACCACGTGGTAGATGTTGCCGTTCTGAAAGTCCAACAAATACAACCTCTCACATTCCCGAAGTCTGTAAGTCTGTCTGCCCATCATCTTTCATTTCGAACATGCACTGTCGAATCCGACAACTCATGTAATGAATAGAGATGTCGTAAACATGGTCAAAAAAGAGTTCGACCATGTTCGACTTTTCCGAACTTTCCCAGCTCAACAAACGTGAGATAAGTTTGACCTTTATGCTTATGCGCGTATATTAAAAACGAGAAAAGTTGCGTCATTCGAATAAACTAACTAAATAATTAGAAGTTCACAGATTTGGTATTACAATGTGTAAGCATTCGTAGTTTGCCTTTATAATGAAAATAAGCTACCAGATCAATAATTGCTCTTCAAATTTTAGATGGTCTGCGTAGAAGTCGAGAAACACTGCTTGAGAAGTCGAGGTTGTCGAGCTCCGTCGAAAATACGAGGGGGTTCCGAAAGTCAACGCACGGAGATTTTGACGCCGCATTCGCACTGGCGACTCAACCGCATCCGCTAAGCGGTTGCGACCGCGGTTGTTTAACGATGCAATACAAATTCACGTGCAGTTGACGATAAAAACGAGCAGATTCGCTTCGCGGTTGCAATTCGAACGCCACTGCGAATGCAGGCTCAGAGGATGCATAATCATTCATGCGCGATGACATCCGTGCCTTTTGTTTACTAAACCGATGAAAGGTACTGGTTGCTTAGGAGAAGGAAGGCCGGCGTTTCGTCCCCACAATAAAGAGCAATACGCATCGCCGAATGCTCACTATCTGCCCAAATGGAGTGCTAACGTTTAGCACCAGACCCAAAAGTCTCAGAGCTTACCGTTAACTAATGAAAAATAAAACTATCAGCCTTTCCACTTTGATGAAGAAGGAAGACCAGCGAAGCTGTATTATGGTGGGAATGAAGTAGTTGCCGGCCGCAAGTCGACAAGGCAGAGTCGAAAGGCTGGAAAGGTCGCCGCCATTTATGAGCGACGACGACAACCAGACAACCGGCAAGCCGGTTGTCTGGTTGCCGCCGTCGCATACAGATGGCGGTAGCTGTCCACAGTTCTGTGTCATCATTTGTTTGTTCATAGACACGATCCTGGGGAAAGTAGCCCTTAACAGCTCCGCTGTAATAAAATTTCAGGCGATTTTCAGGGATGTTTGAAGATAAAATGGATGACCAACGAAGCCGCAAATATAGGGAGATAAGTGGCGTCTAGGAACGCGGCCACCATTTTCTCATTGAAATTTTACGAAAATCGTTTATAACTTGTGGATTAGAGAACGGTAAGGACTGAAAACTTGTCACCTGCTTCCAACCGCTAGCGCTAAGTATTGTCAGAGATTCAAGGTTTGGACATGCGTAGTTTATTTTTCTACAATGACAAAGATAGCGTTTTTTTTTTGTTTGTTTTTTTCTGGCTTAGAAACACCTTTGCCCTAAAAAAAGTCGGTGCGTCTACTTTCCCACACAACGCTTGGAAAGCCAATCACCGCAACTTACGGAGGCAGCTCAGCGAATGACGATGCCGAAACGTATGGTAAGACCGAAAAGCACAGTCTGAGTTGTCACATTAAGCCATTCAAAGCCTCACGCCTGCATTGCGTAATATCACAACTCAGAAAGCGTTATTTGGTCTAAACATACGTTTCGGCATCGTCATTCGCTGAACTGCCTCCGTAAGTTGCGGTGATTGGCTCACCAAGTGTTGTGCGGGAAAGTACACGCACGGGCCTTTTTTGAAGTGTAGATTAATTATTTGTATTTTCTATCGCAATGCTGGGCATTATGCTTTCAAGTTATTCGGAGAAATTAACAGAGGGCACAACCTCCGACAGACGGCCTGTCATAAACCCGGTTAGGCGATGCAAGGCACAAGCTCGTCCACTTCATTTTTTTTTTTTTTCAGGGGCTCTTTGTGACGTCAGAACGCCGAGTCCTGATCGGCTCTAATTGAACGAGACCCCAAGGCAAGCTGCCTCGATGTCTACCCTCTATCCTTCAATCAGAGGCCATTAGAGCTCGGCGTTATAACGTCACCTCACCAGAATCCACGCATAAAGAAGCAGAAGAACTTGCGCTGCGCATTAATTTCCCAAACAAAAAAAAAACAAAAAAAGAAAACTTTCTAGGATAAACATACCTCGAGGAATCCGAAATGATGGTCCTCCGCCCTCGTGTCCTCGACAATTGCACCTGTCGAAATGACATTCGAGACACGTCCAGTGATGTTCAAATCTATATACTCCAGTCTGCATTAAAGCCGACCGCAGCCGACACTACAATCCAATGGAGCCAATCAAGAAGCACCAAAAGTGCACCGTCTCGGTGATCATCGCACGCATTCGTGCGTTTATCACCGACCACATCAATCGCGCACAGGAAATGCGCGCCGCGATTGCGCGCGTTTTTTTGCTCTGCGTGATTGGCTTAGCCAAAAATAGCGAACCCTCGTACACGAACAAACGCCATGACCGTGCACTTTTGGCGCTTTCTGATCGGCTGCATCCGAATGGTAGCGTTATCTGTGGTGGAAAAGCGCAGAAAACTACAGGCAGGAAGACAACAAGACCGGGCGCGCTCTCGACTAAAGTTTATTTCAAAAGTGCACACATATATACCGGACAGGCATACTAATCGTCACGCATCTTTGCTCAGCCCCCCGTTTAAGAAACTCATTTACAGCCGTGGAAAGGGCTAAGGAAGTTTCGCTAATGCAATCCCTCCCCCTACTTTTAATCTCAAAAGCCTCGCGTAATTCCCTCGACAATTTGCTTTTATATTTGACTAGGATCTTAGCACAGAAATAGGTACGTGGAATGTACGACTGGCGTAGTTTATGAAATTCCCCTGACCTGTGGGTCGAGTGATGTGGGGCAATCTGGCAGATGCATGAATGACCGCGCGCGAGAGCACGCTGCGTTAACGAGGACGACACCGTCCAGGCACCTTGCGGTTCAGTGCAGAAGGTGCCCTTGCGCGCCATCATTCCACAACACTAAGCTCCTAGCCAAATATAAAAGCGAAGTGTCGAGGAAATTACGCGAGGCTTTTGAGATTAAAAGTAGGGGGAGTGATTGCATTAGCGAAACTTCCTTAGACCTTTCTACGGATGAATATAAGTTATTGAAATGGGGGCTGGGCAACGATGAGTGACGATTAGTATGCCTGTTGTGTATACAGGGTGTTTCACGAAAAGTGAACCCATTCGATATTGCGAAAACTACGCATCGCAACATAAAAAAGGCTTGTATCGTCTTAGTCCTGGGCCAGGGGCCTTTATAAGAAAATAATTAACGTCCGGGATAATTAGATTGTTAGGTATTTTTTGCGTAATTAACTTTTTTAATATTGTGCTTAAGGGCGTGGTTTCAATTAGAAAATTGCTCACCATCATCAAAACACACTAAATCAACAAATTGCAGAACGATAGAAGGCACACGCAGCCTTTTACAACTTTATAAAAAAACCGCACAAATTCTACGGGTTTTTTAAGTTTCGGTTGTGCAATCGAAGCGCTTCTCGGCCCTGACGGCACCGCGTCTCGTGGAGAAATAGTGCAACGAACCTCTGCTACGCTGTCCTCGCGCAAGGCAGTAGGGGCTGGTTGCACTATCTCTCCACGGGGCACGCTGCCGTCGGGGCCGAGAAAAGCTGCGATTGTATACCGAAACTTAAAAACCCGTCGAAGTTGTGCAGTTTTTCAGAAAGGCATAAGTGCCGCGTGTGCCTCCTTCTATCGTTCTGCAATTAGTTAATTTAGTGCTTTCCGATGATGCTGAGCAATTTGCTAATTAAAACCATACCCTTAAACACAATATAAACAGTTAATTACGCAAAAATACTTAACAATCTAATTATCCCGGACTTTAATCATTTTCCTAAATAGGCCCCAGGCGCAGGACCAAAACGACACAAGCCTTTTTTCGTTGCGACGCGTAGTTTTCGCAATATCGAATCTGTACACTTTTTGTGAAACACCCTGTATTTGTGTGTACTTTTCAAGCAAACTCTAGTTGAGAGTGCGCCCTGTCCTGTTGTCTTTCTGTCTGTCTGTGTATTTTTCGGCGCCTTTCCATTGTAAATAAGTGCCAACTGGCCCATACAAGTACGTTGTCTGTGGTCGGACTCAAAGGCCAGCAACCAGACTCGAGATTCTGCAAGGCAGACGATCCTCCTCACCATGGAGGAGGAGGAACCAGGCAGCGGTGAAGACGGTAGAAGGAGGAGAGGAGGAAGTGGGGGAAAAGTGGAAAGCGCAAACTGGTCGTCGGTCTTTGATGTGAAACGAAGTATGTACAACACCCTGATGTTTCAGGTTTCTCACCTCTAGTTCTGACTTTGGAGCCCCAGAGGTTCCATTCGGCGGAGCTGCCCTCTAGCGTGACCTCTCCACTCATCATGCCACCTTGGTCGTAGGAGTCGGTCTCGAGCAGGAAGCTGTTAACGAAATATATGTAGAGCACTCGAGAGATCTTTTGACAAACAGCAACTCTTCATTTATTCGCTCATTACAGTACATGATCTGGTCCCATGCGGGCGTTACAGAGGGGAGTGGGCAACTGAAGACACTAAAATAGAAACACAAGAATACATTGACTTCCACCTGAAATGGAGAGCAAATTGCGCTTTCTAGGCAGCTGGTGGTCTGCCGCTTAAAAGTCCGCCTGGTCAGTTCATCTATAAGACAAGCTGAGCCCTCTACCAACTGAGCTAATAAAGAGGCAGCCGTTAGTAGAGCAAACGGCCACCAGTCTTGAATAAAACCTCCAAAAGGGTGAGATCAGGCGTTAATGATCTCCCGCATCGGGGACTGAACTCAAAAATCACTCTATACAATATACATGAACAGGAATTCAACACAGCCAAGCGACACATACGCAAAAATAATTATTGTCAGAAGCCTTAAACAATACTAATGAGGATTGGGAGGTGGTTCCACTCTGACGATGTTCATGCCACAAAGTAGTCGTTATAGGCTGATGTATCCGACAATGAGGAATGCCAACTTCGACTGGTGGTCAAAGTGTGAAGGAATGTAAAATGGATCGTGTGTGAGCTTATTTATTTTCGGGAGGTATGATAAGTATGATACAATGTGTGGAAAAGACATACACAAGAGCATCTGCGAGTGCATCTCTTTATATAGTTCCTGAGATGGTATCACTCCCTGCGCATAGGTACCCTCAGGGCTCCCGATATTTTAGCGTGCTAATTTACCATCACAGAACGTTTAATGCGAAATGTATTTGAATTTACGAGCGTACTTATATATCTTTGCTTTATTTTCTGTGTGATGCACGCCTACTCCGACATACATTATAAGTAGGACCTACGCCGGCACACATTATAACTAGGGTTCCTTATTTTCGGACAAATTACAAAAACTCCCCAATATGCCCGCCGGTAAAATGTTCGTCAACTTGGATTTAACCGATAAATTTCCAAATGTCGATGTACCAATGCTGAAAAAGACGGTACATTTTAGTTAAATTTGTTCAGCGCACAGGTTCAATAATCCTAAAAATATGCCACCCCAGATTTATAAGCAGTAAAAGCAGGCTAAAAGCAGGCATTTTTAGCCTGCTTTCACTTCGATTCTTTGCGCATTTTTTTTATTTAAACCCTTAAATAAAGATGATGCTAGAATAAATTCCAAACAATTATTTCAAAGGAAGACATTCTTTTTATGTCTTAAATCTTTGATATCAATAGAATGTAAGCAAGAGGGAAACTACTAGTCACCCATACTGCCGCTTTTATTCGTGCCTATAAAATGTGGACGTGTTTTGTTTAATTTTGTGGTATCGTACCGGAATATGTCACCCCCTGATATTCTATTCCTACTTACGTTTTATTATAGCATTCGTGGCATGCGTGTGTTTATACAGTTGGAGGTTAGTCGTCCTCAATGGGCGTCTGGTGTCTCAGGTGTGGATAGGAAGTTTATCCAAAGCAATACAACCGCTATCCTGTTTTTTTTTTTTTTTTTTAGCGTGTATCACGCAGTAGTGATACACGTCCACACGCTTGTACAATGCTCATCCAGATCGAAACGGACAGGAATGGGAATTGAACCCATGCTCCAGCTGGTTTCTGCAGCGCTCCCTGGTTTCGCTCCTCGCGCTCCGAGCTGAGGTGCGCCAACGCAGTCGGTCACGGATGCCCCACTTATTAGGGAGTTTTCGTAGGTCATTTTCGCCGCGACGCAACACCCTCCGTAACCCTTTACGATACCCGGAACTTTACAGTCGAAAAGGAGTTTTCGTGGACCGTTTTCACCATTCCGCAACGCAATCCGCAACCCGCTACAATACCCGGGACCGCTAACCCTCCGCCACAAAGAAGCCGCTACTGCGCCTGCGCGCCAATGGCCTTGATTGCGACAGTCAATGCCATTGGCAGTTGCGACGACAAGTTCGATGGTACGTTTAAAAACCCCAGTGGAAGCTAGGATCCATCGCATTCCGAAACTAACACCGTTGAAGCTGACACTCTGACAACGCTCTTAGGCCCCGGGTTTGGCGAATCGCGGAAAGCTGACCGCAGCGAAGCTTTTGGTCTTGACTGGGCGTGGGCGTGAACGTTGCCCACACGTGCAGAGACATAATGGCGGCCAGATGCCCTGCTTGCATATAGACCCTTTTGCTGTTTACAAACATGAACTGCCTCCCGCGTCCCAAGCGACTTCCGGTCGCTCCGTCTTTGTTAGTCTGTCGAGCTTGCCTATGTCGCCAGTGCTAGAAAGCATAAACGCTACACGCACATGAAAGTTGGAGATTTAACGAGGACCCTCGGCTGGTCAATTCAACGTCTTGGTGGAGGCAAGTTCGTTTACAAGAGTATTTGAAAATATTTAACATATCTCGGTCTTCGTTTTTTTTTGGCGTTCACCTGGAGAATTGGTGGTTAAACGTTTCATCGACATTTCAAACAGCGGTGTTAGGGTGGACTTTGTTCATACTTTTTATGACCCGGAAGTTCTCTGGGACGTCAAAGACTAGAACACCTCCTGGTGGCATTTGCCATGAAAAGGGTCTATTAGCGGCGAGATGTTTTGGTGGCGCCCTCCTATGGTTCCCCCTTTGTGACGTCATTACCTTGCAAACAAGTTTGATGGTGTTTGTAAATAGCATGGTGGAAGCTTGAAATCATTGCGCTCTCAAAGGAACACTGCCAACACCGTCAAAATTAAAGTTCTTTCATTCCTCTTATTTCCGTCGATGATAAATCCTTTTCTGACGTTATAGTCAGCGTTCGGCCAATCGTGGAAGGCCGACCACAGCGACGCTTTCGGTCGCGCACGTCGCCAATAGGGAGGATTCACTGGCCATAGCTGCATGCGCGACGGCTGAGGGCGTGCTCAGGGTGAGCTTCCGCAGCTCTTTTGCAACGTGCGTTCCACACCATCAACATTGCCGGCCTTAGCAGCCTAATAATGTGAGCTCGTTCTGAGCATGCGGTCTCAACATCGCCCTCAAATAGGGCGTCTGTAGTCTGTTGCAACGTTAAATCTGCAGGAGAAACTCGGACACTATGCGCCGAGAAACTGAGGGAGAGGAGGAGATGAAAGCGCGCGGAAACGTCAGAACGCCGAGCTCTGATTGGAATGGTTAGTGGGTAGACATAAAGCTAGCTGCCTTCGTCTCTACTCCACTCGTCGTACGTTGAACGTCGACGCCCAGCACTTGGCTTTCTCATTCAAATACGTTCGACGAGTGCAAAGGAGATAGAGCCCAGCTTTTGTCTCCCCTACATTCGTCGAATGCGGTAGAACGTAGAACGCCGTCGTCCGGCGTTTGCTTTTCGAATTCGAACGCGCACGACGAGTGCAGCAGAGACGAAGGCAGCTAGCTTCAGGTCTACCTACTAATCACTCGAACCAGAGCTCCGTGGTTTGACCTCCCTTCCCGCTCTCGTCTCCTCCTCTTCCTCAGCTTCTTGCCACATTGCCCTTGAGACCCAGCTTGAATTTAGGGGAAGCGTGCTCTTGGTGTATCTACGGCTCTCTATGTGGCACGTGCTGATTCTCTCTGTCCAAAATGCGGGTGAAAACAAAGCATCGATACCCTCTAAAAAGAGCCCGTGTGTCTACTTTCCCGCACAACACTCGGAGAGCCAATCAGCGCAACTTACAGAGGAAGCTCAGCGAATGACGATGCCAAAACATATGTTTAGACCAAAAAAACGCAGCCCGAGTTGTGACACTATGCAATGCAAAACGTCGCGCTTGCATTGTTTAATGTCGCAACTCCGACTGCGTTTTTGGTCTAAACATATGTTTCGGCCTCGGCATTCGCTCAGCTGCCTCCGTAAGTTGCGGTGATTGGCTCTCCTAGTGTTGTGCGGGAAAGCATACGCACGGGCTTTTTTATTAGAGTGTACCCTGAAGATACTTTTTTTTAGATTGTTTTAGAATAAATTATCTAAATTTATTGTTCATTTGCTTGCTTTCGGTTTAGAAGTCAATTATATCGTTACTGGTGGCCTAAGAATATCAGGGCATGGCTTCGTGCATTTCACGCTTCTTGCTTCGTGATTGACTCCTTGGAGTTTTAACCGGCAATTGGAGCCCTCTCATTGGCTGCGGAGGATTAACGAGATGCTCGGCAAGCGCCGCGCCGCTCGTTTCTTAAAATGTTGGTGCTTAGTGTCGGTATCACACTTCCTGACGCCTTGCAGGACAACTCGAAGACAGCGCACAAATACCGGTGATATAAAAAAACAAGAAAAAACATTGAGGTGAATGTTACCTGTCTATTTGAGCGAGCATCTCCGGCGTCGGCAGTTTGGCAAAACTTTCAGCGAGCAGAGCGCAGCTCAGTTCCACCGGATGCTCCAGCGTGTGAGACACGGTTGACCAACTGCGCAATAATAAGAAATTAAAGAAAATTACACGCGTCATCTCTCACACAATGGGTGCACTGCGCTGCTGCTGCAAAACACGACATCGACACTTTCTCCTGTATCAGGAGAAAGTGTATCAGGAGTCGGGCAAGGTGTTAAATGTGCACTTTGCATCACACTCTAGTCGGATGCAAGTTTCGAATGCGGCATGTAAACGCCACCACGTACCAGCCACGGCACAAAATCGTTGCGCAAACCAACCTTAAAAGGCAGACCCATGGCGAGTCCTCAGGGCGACGTGCACTCTTAGAAAAAAGGGTACGGATAGTCCTCCCTTACGGGACGAACCGTCTTGTAACCTATGTTCCTTTAGAAAGGGAGAAACCTTCGTCCCTGAAGCAGGGGAGCAAAGTTCCTCCGTCGCTTGCATCTCAATATGGCGGCCCCGAATCGAGCAAATCGAGCCCAATAAAGCTTAACGAGAACGCTACGTCTCTTGTACGGGACGAGAGCAGCAGCAAATGAAAGCGTAACACGAACTTTCCGCAAACTGTGTTTATTTCCGAAGCCAGATTCCCCTCACAGGTACAGAAACCTGCGTTTCGAAAGCAGTTACTCAGTCTTCTCGTCGACAGCACTGCGATGTTAAACGGAGATAACCAACACCCAGTTACTTCGCGCACTTTGCGTCTTACCTTTGGTGTTCCTCGAGTCACAATTCCTTCGTCAACCGCACATCACGGAGAAGGGCAAACTCACTCCGCGAAACCAAAAGCCGCCCTCGAAAGAACTAACTCGAAGCCGCTGTTTATCGCGTAGCGTTAAAGAAGGTTAAATCGGTAGCCACCAGATGGCGGGGTCAAGCAGAGTAATTGCAAGTAGCTAGGCTAGGTGGCGCTAGGTACCGCCCAATTCATGTTCTACAAATAATAACTTGCTTCTTTAAGGCCACTTGCGCTTGAGGATCCTCTACTATTCACACATGACACCTATTACACTTAATACAAGCATCAGGTGAACATACATTAAGCACATGCACTGCACACACAAATATCAATACAACGAACGGAACACCACACTAGCCCGAACACTACACCCGTGCTCTGCCTTTCCGTCTTTTATACTGGTCGTTTTGAACGTGCGGAACTTTTCGGTGACTCCCTAAGCAATAAAAATTATTCCCAGCATGTTGATTTTTTCCCAGCAATGTCATACCTCTGAGAGCATTTTGAATGGCTCAGGGGTTGAATCTCTTATTAAAAAGTAAACGCTCAATCATGCCGTAATTATTTGAAAGCCAATAAATCAAGCCGCTCCAATGCGGTTCGAAGCCATGAGTTTGTTTCCCCACACGGCACGTCGTAGCCTGTATTTCTATTTGTTTTTCTATTTGTGCTGTTCGCGCAAAGCTGCAATTGCCGTTTGAATTAATCTCTGTAGAGCGGATATTCAGTCAGCTGGAAGTGATGCTCCACGGACTGAGAAATTGCTTTTCGATCAACTTGAATGCAGTCAAAGCCGCGACTTGCGGCAGGTGTTAAGTGTGCGGAGCTACGCCGTGGCGAGCCCGAAAACTTCTAGCGCTCATCCCAGCGCGCCACGGAGGGCAGTTTCTCCAGCAACCGTAGTATAATTAAACAACAAAATAAAGGGTAGCTTTTTTTTTTTTTTCGATTTTACCTACTATTGTTTTTAATGCCGAAATTCCATACTGTAAATATACGTACTTTACGTCACGATTTTGTACTGTTCAGTCCTTGCCCCTGAGCGCAATCGCTCTCGGGGACGAGACAATTCCGACAGTCACATTGGCCACTGTACGATAGGAGCTTCTACTGTTCAGACCAGCGTTCCAATCCCTCAAGTGGTAATAAACCTTTTTAATGTAAAACGGAATGTCAACCTGCGACACCCCCCCGCCCCCTCCGATCACAACCCGACCAGCGGCATCAATGCCCAACAGTTTACGATCTCATCTTCTTGTTATACCACTGATACCCGAACACATGGTCACATCGGCGATAATTCCAGTCTTCTGTTCACAACCCAACACTGCCATCACGATGTTGCAGCTATGTTGCTGACACGCACAAACACAGAACCACGTTGAACGCCGGTTGCACTCGGCATCGGAAAACACAACCGAACTCAGGGGGGAAGGCACGCAGGCAGCCGGCAGCAAAACCTGCCTGTCTTGAACGCAGTTCCTGCGGTTTCCATAACGTCGAAAACGTCGACACAGCTCCGCGTGCTTTTGCTACTGTAGTCTGTAGTGCTGCAGTGGCTGTAGTTCCGTGCCGCGTGAGTCCCGCAATCCGGAGACGGCCATCCCCCAGTGTACGTGGCGCTGCTGGCACTGCTCCGGAACTTCGCTGTTTCTAGCGGCTTCGTTTGCTCGTTTGATAAAATTAGTGATAAAAACGTCAATGCAACCGAAATGTTTTGCACGTTTAGACTAGAAGACGGAATTACAGGCGGCCTTCGCTGCTGCTGAAGCTCAATCAACTCAACAGCTATTTATTAAACAACGTGCGCGACCTGCTCGAAAAACGAAACCGAAAGACAATGAGTCGGGAGGGCGAAAGCTTTCACCCGTCTGCCTGGAGAAGGAGAAAAACGTTTCTTTCCTCCCCTTTTCTCGCGTCCGCTTGGGGGCGCGTCGGTAGAAGGGAGGAAGGCGCGCAGTTGCTACTTTTTTCCTCCATTTTTTCTTAGAGTGTGCGCCTCGGTAGCGGACTGTTTCCGCATCGCGAGGGGACCGCGGCTGAGCCTGGCGGTGACGAGGTTGCGGAGGGAGGGAGCTATGATGCATTCTTAACTCGGATATGACTATTCGTGACTCGAGCAGAACGGACGGTCCGTAACGGGAAAACACTAAACTTCCCCTGAACGGGTCCTTTCACAATTTCAGGTCCCCTCTTAAGGCTTACGTGATTGGATGTTATTGGCGGTAGGATCTGTTGGAAAGCGAACAAACGCGACTGTTAAACTCGCCAACACGTCCAAGTTAGCAGTCAAGAGCCCGTTTTTTATATGGTGCCTGGAGCGCGTCTCCGACGGGTGTGTTTAGGGTCCTATCTCTCCCATACACCTGAAGGAGTCCCGAAGTGGCACCAGATGACGTCACAGAAGCCGGAGTGTCATGCTGTAGGATAAGGCGATCCTGGCGGTAGGTCGTAAAAACACTGGCAAGAATCACGAGCCAATGCGAGTGTCGCTGTCGTCGTGGCGTTCCAGGCGTCTCAACTTCTTGCTGCTGTAACTTCTGTGAACTTCCACAATGAAGAGCGACCTGCTGCAAATCAGGCTTCTGCCACGTGCACCACAGCTGCTGGGACACCGCCGGGGTCGCAGTCGGCGACAGCATAGACATTTATGACGTCATCACGCGAACGTCGAGGGGCCACGTTTTTGGACGCGCTGAGCGCACCTGACGAAGACGCATTCAAGGCACCATAGTTTGTATGCTTTCATCTACATTTCGAAAATGTTTCTCGAAATGTGAGAGTTATATGACAATAAATGCTACAATTCGTAAAGTACGCGAGCGTTCATCCTCGCATACTTGCGTTTCTGTTGCCTATCTGTTTTGTGTTTAAGATCAGCCGTCAGTCGGGAAAAGAAAAATCACTTGTGTAAAAAAAGATGGGCAAAGCAGTATATTTCAAGTGTGTTGACTGGGCCTCGCCGCTACTCTGTGCGAGCTTGCTACAACGCCAGCCAACATAAAGTTCGAGCTTTATTATGAAGGAATAGATGCTCGCTGATGTTACATTGAAATAAAACGAACCCTTGATGTTACGTAAGCTGTTTTTAATCTTATTTTCTGGTTGGTTACGCAGCGGAAAACTGCAGTCGTGTGATCACAGCGGGCCGCTTTCATAGGTCTCAAACGGCGACAGCGCTTTGCTAGTCCCCTCTAAGATGGCGTCGGAAAGAAATCTGGCGCCGCGTCCGACAGACGATGGGAGAATCCGCACAAGGTCCACTGTCAAGAGTGGCGACTCCTATGGGTCACTGGAGTCGCGAATACTCGTCTTCATGACATGTGCTTCAATTCTAAAAGAAGCACCGAAACAATCGGCAGTCACTTGCTCATTCTAACAAAAGGCAACTCTGTACGCTGTAAAAACAGCTGGTGCGCTAGTTTATCCACATGTCGCGGGAAGGTCAATCATTGCGAAGTGGCAAGAGAGGCGGTCTAAGCGAATGAAACATGTTCGAAAAGCCAATCAGCGCTGGGCTTTTAACCGTGCCATTTTGTATGCCCAGTGTACCACGCGAATCGCATATCGGGTCATAAAGCTTGATTCACATGGTGCGATTTTGCTTCCGATTTCGTGGCTGCTGCGTTCAACACACGTTGGAAGAAATACATTTAGGTGGTGACTCTGGCCGCTCTTCCCGCGGGGAGCGAGCGATCAGATCGTGTTCGGAGCTAGCCTCGAACCAGGAGTATACTCTGTTTCACCTTAGGATGTACCGCAGGAAAGGCTACAAGCGCGACCTCCTTGCTCTGGGGCACATCTCGGCGGCACAAGCTCTCGTGACTTAAAAGCGGCTGCCAACGCTATGAGCTCGCGCTTCTAGCCTTCGCTGTGGTACAACATGAGGTAAAATGAAGCATAGTTAGTTCCGCGCCACCACGGAGGGCGCTGAGGTGCGAGCACCGTGGGTATGAGGTTTCTCCTCGGCGGCCACGGTGTCGGGGGCGTAGCTTGCTCGCTTTTTTCGCGGTGTGGTGGTGGTGTGAGGCCAGTGGCTGGCCTCATGCTTGGCTTTGGTGCCGTGTCGATCACAGGTGCCATCATCGTGCACGAAGGTGAGCCTTAACCCGAAGAAGAAGTTATGCTATAAGGATGGGAAATGCGTGCTTTGTTCCCAACTGCAATTCGCGGTACCGGAACTGCGCAGAGCGAGTGTCCTTGTTTAAAGCTCCATCGAATGACGCTCGCCTGGAGCAGTGGTGTCGTGCAATCCCGAGGGCAGATCGCAAGTTACTACCTAGTCTTCTGATCTTCTTGACCAAGTGAAGATCAAGCTTGACACTCTAATTTCTGTCGAAGATTAGGAATGCGAAGATGTCCGGACAGAAAAGGCTGAAGAAACCAAAACTGTAGACTGCATACTATATTATGTAACTGGGTTTTTGAGTGTGAAAATGAAAAACGCTACGCGCTCCCTGCATGCCGATCCGCTTTCAGCATCGACAAGAACAGCAATAAAATGCTTAGGTGGGCCAGTTGGTACATCATGGGAAATAAGCGCCCAAATAACAGGGACAAAAAGTAGAATAACAACGACACAGGGCGCACTCACAACTGAGTTGTGAGTGCGCCCTGTGTCGTTGTTATTCTACTCTTTGTCCCTGTTATTTCGGCGCTTATTTCCCACGAAAAGAACACTTTTGATGAAGCAGCACTGACAAACATGAAGAACAAGGAGGCATTATACACTCTAGCAAGAAACTTTTCCAGCTACCGAAGAAAGCGGAACAGTTCTTCGTGGAAAATAAAAGCCACCAGACTGTCTACTGGGACACAATCGACAGTGTTATTCACACATGCACAATAACGTTTCCATGCGCTGAACACAAAGAATAAACAATTGCCCAGTTGCTCCACTACTACTTCAGCATGCGAATGCGACAACACTGTAAGCATATTAAAATGAGTAGGAACAAACAAGCTCAAGAATAGAAGAAATCAGCAAAGCAGAACTCGTCTTAGTTTAAGAGCATGGGAGAGAAACGCAGGATGTAGGAGATAGCGTTCTTTGGTAGTATGCAGTGAATTCACCTTTTGTGTACATTTTAAAGCAAAAATACGTGTCAGGTATTTTGTTACCTTAAGACGGGGTGACATCATATTATGAGAGTATAAATGAAAAGGGATTTATGTCCTATAACCGCTACTATTGTTTGACTTTCAGTCATTGTGTCATCATGTCAGTCAGTATGTCATCATACTGTGTCGTCATTTCAGTCACTATGCCATCATAAATAAAAATGTTTCTGCTCACAAGGTTTTTATGTTCCACAGTACAACTTGACATTGTATGTATAAACCATTTGTACTGCTATATTCTTTATGCGCATGTAAAGAATTATTTAGGCCCCACTATGTAACATTATTAGAATTCAATTTTTTTAATAAAAAGGCAGGAATAGGGTGGGAAAAGTCACCCCACGTCCTATAAAGCCACGCAATGTGTAAACAATTTACGGAACTCTTACCAAACATGCTGTTCGACAAAGCATGCGAGCACGACCCAGCTGTTTACTCTAAATTACTCTAAATTAATAAAGGCCCAGTAAATTATGCAGGGAAGTTTTATATTTATACGAGTATTTTTGTCACGTTGAGTCATCATCGGAATGTTCTCGTTTAAAATAACAGAAACCGCACGGGGGGGAAGGCAATCTGTGCCAGTGCGCCAACATAAATCCATCATTTCACTACACAGTATACAGGGACCGAGTAAAAAAACCACAATGTCCTTCACAAGTCCTCTATACAAGCCTTCACAAGCCCCTTTATACTTGAGCGCCATCTATCCCCATGCGAGTGAAGTGCGCTCGGTGCGCCGAACATAATGTGGTCGCCGCGTGAGACAGAGAGTCATCACCTGAATGTATTTCTTCCACCGTGGTTCAACACCGCAACCTCCACCGCAAATTTCGTTCTTTCATTTTGTTCTATTTTCTTTTTTTCTTTTTTTAACGAGCGGCGTCATTTGTGGAATCGCAAGTAGAAGCGCCCCATGTGAATCAGGCTTAGGAAATATGGAACAAACTTCTGGCTGCTATTTGTTATGTTAATTGCAGAGACAGATTCCCCGCGAGCTATGTGGGTAACTGCCGCATGAGCATAATTTAAGCACCAAGGTATCTCTCCAAAAAACATTACAGAGTTTTGTTCACCGTGGAAATGAACTACGGATCGTGGACCACTCGGTTTCCGCTCAAATGTAGCGCTAGAAGTCCGAACCAGGTGCCAAAGTTTAAGGACTGACTGTTATTCTGTTCTAAAAGCTACGTGGTTCTTTCACATTTTCACTGCGAAAGTGGCCGCCGACAGCGCTCTCGAATAAATGAAGCTGCATTGCGTCAGCTACCAAAATGTGCAAAAACGCGCACCATTTTTCCATTGAAATTTTGGGAAAATTGCTTATAAAATTCGAACAAGATAACGGCTAATTCTGAAGCTTTGGCATCTGTTTCGAACCCTCACCGCTATACATTTGAGCTGAGAATGAGTGTTTGGCAATCTGTAGTTTAGTTTTGTGGTGAAAAAGGGACACTGTAAACTTTTTTTGGGACACGCTGCATATACTTTTCCACTGATTACTGCAGACGCATGTGCGGCGTCTGATATTCCGCAGAAGAGAGCTAATGCGCATGCTCAGAACTCACGCCACAGCCCAGGAGACAAAGATGGCAGATCGCAGAAATCAATTAGTGGAATGTTCTATAGTGCGTGATGGACAGAGTGATTCGTATAGCTCACCGAAGCTAACGATGTGTAAATCTGCCAGACATGCTTATGTATTGAACATTATGACGTATACTTACATGAATCCGAATTTGACGTGCGCCTCCGTGGCATCCGCTTTATCGCTGTCCCCTGGAATAGATTTCCTGCGAACGTAAAACGATAAAAAAATAACGCCGCTTGCTACAATGCGCGCAATGTCCAATGCGTTTCCATAACCTGACACTAAGGAAACTTCATGCGTGTAAACCTCTCTACAAAACACGGGTTGGATCCGGAACTGCGTTATACGAAGCGTAACAAACAAATAACAAAATCAATGGCACAGTTTGACTGAAAAACGATTAGGTAACAGTAAAACTGAGAGAATTAGTTTTTTCACCCCATTGTGTAGAAACGTTTTTATTTTATTTTTTATCATAATTGCTAGCATGGTTATTTGAGGGTGTACCTGCTAAAACTTTCTTGTAAGATCGGCAATATGACGCCAACAAAAATTAAAAAGAATAACTATTAAGAGGTAGCTCATTTATAATTATCAAACATTTGTAACAGCGCCATTCAGTATAGACACCGCACAAAAATGTCAATGATTGGCCCACAGCATTTCCAGCGAGGAAGAGGATACGGGTACAGTACTTGCGTGCATCCGGTGATTTTATAGCAACAGTATAGTCAAATCAGTAAGTTGAATTAGCTGATGCAGTGAGAGGATGCTGAAAGCAGTTGTACGCCCTGCCCGTCTCGGTGTGAATGAACAACCTACCGGCTTCCGATCGTGAAATCAATGCAGCGTGACGCACTGCTTCCAAAAGATACCAGGGTAGCAATCGCACTTCACTGGCAAAACATTTCTTACTTACAGCGTTAGCCAGTGTCACCATACCTGAAGGGCATTAAAATGTTCATCACCTAAGGGGCTTTGGCTTTTCAAAACAAGTATTCCAAGTTGGTGAACTCAAATTCACTTTATCGATTGCTGATCTGCAGTAGCGAAACTTGGGCTAGTGTCTGACGTGGATGTAACGTCTGCCCTATAGAGTCATCAGGAAGGATGGATGAATTGATGCTAATGACCAGACTTTTACTATCGGGTGGTAGCGTTCGATACTTCCTTACGCTTTCCATTAAGTTTTGTCGTAAATTCCGTACCTCGTTAAGTCGCTTCTCTAGACCTTTTCCACCGATCTTTTAACTCCTTTTTCTGGGGATCGTATTTTTTTCTCCCCCGTTCTTCCATCTTCGCCAGCTAAAAATATCGGGTGGTAGCATGCGATACTTAGCCTAACGCTCTCCAAAAAAATTTGCCTTAAATTCCGTATCTCGTTAAGCCGCCTCTCTAGACCTTTTCGAATAATCTTCCAACTCCTTTTTTGCGATCGTAATCTTTTCTCCTCCGTTCTTCCAATTTCGCCAGCAAAAACCCGACGCTCCTGACAGATCCATTACCATGCGGCAGCGAAACAATATATTACATTTGTATTCGAAGTACAGCGGGCTTTGGTCTTGGCCCTTTTATTACGGAGGCGGTAATGGATTTCGCAAAAGCACTGTGCTCTGCAGGCGAAAATAAAAGAACGGAGGGGAAAAATGCATAAAGCCCATAATGCGTCTATCTCTGGAACGTTAGCCTTTTAAGTCTTTGTCCATGATACTACAGTTCTAGCCCCATTTGATAATAGCGTTCAATATTGGTCTAATTGGAATACCACCATTAAAGTCTTTCAACGCAGACGAAAAGAACAAAACAGCGGCGAGGAGCACACCACGGCGCTTTCGTGTGTTCGTCTCCAGCTGTTCTTTTTTTTGTTGTTGTTGTTTCTTAGGTTGCTAGTTCCTAATAATGCTGGGGGCGTTGGTACGTCAGTCAGGCAGAATTCGGTCTTTACTAAATAGAGCCCACAGAGCGATAAAACAAGATTGCATTTTGCAACTTTACATCTGGAGAAGAGCTGCCACAGTTTCCGTCTGCGCCGGTAGCATAAAATTAGGGCGAGTCTTTGCGTGGACTGTTATCAGACTCGCCGGCCACGAATACATGACACCAGAAACCCTTCATAAAATGTAATACAATAAAGTATGCTAATGTTGCGCTTTTACAAAACACTTTGCAAGGTATTGTTGAAGTATATTTTAGACTTACTAATAGTATAATAAACGTACAGATTGGTTTGAGGCGCGGACCACACCGCTAAAATAGGAAGTACGCAAAACGTATATCGGTTGTTTAGTCGAAAAACAGAAACTTGTTTTCTCACCTAGTAAAAAAACTACGCGTTACCGGACATTCAATCTCCATCTAAATGTAGCTGTTGCGGCTGGGACTACTCTATACAAGTTTCAAAAGTTATTGTTATCTTATCCAAAAAGCTATTACCGATTTTTGTTTAACTTTAGTGAGAAAACGGCGACCAACGGAGCTCCTGATTACATGAATATAAGTGGTAAACGCAACAGAGAAAACTCATTTTCTCGTCAAAATTTAAAAAAGAATCGTAGATAACCTTATGAATTTTTTAACAGTATGTTCTGAAACTGTGGTATCTGGTCCGGACCGCACGCGCTGCTTTTGGGCGAAGACTGCCCGTTCAGCAATGCGTAGTTAAAGTTTCAAGGGAGAAAAAACACGGTTCTGTTTTCTTCAAAACACGCATTATATTAAAAGTACTCTTGCAACAGTGAAAGTATAGTTTTTAAGTGTATTTTTTCGTTATTAATGGCTCTGGTATATGAAATACCACTTGGCCCAGCCCATATTTCCCCGTCGAGCGTGGCTACTTTGCAGGCGTTTCTACGTGTCCAGCCCGACCTGAGCGTGCCGTTGAAGGCAAGACGCCACCTCCGGTTGGCAGCCAGGCATTCCAGGCGCAGGCCCAGGGCCGTGAACGTGTTTCCGTCGCTCCGGTCCAGCGTGAAGGTGCACGGCAGGCTGTAGGTACAGCCGTCCGCCGTGTACAGGCAAAGCCACAGCTCGGCCACCTGGTTCTTGAACCTCGAGAAGCAGACCACCATCCTCTGGCCGGCCGCGTTGCATCCGTAAAAGAACAGCCTGTCTTGAGCCTGGTGGGAGAAGCGCGTCATTCACTGCACTGCTATACGTGCAGAAACTAAAAGAGAGAGAGAGAGAGACTAGAGCGCGCTCGGACTATTCGCAACTTTCAGCGATGGTGGTGCCGCGGTGTGAGAGTCGCGCTCCCTAACTCCTGGATGATAGGCTTCAGAATAAAGGTGCTTGCTATCCCCTTTCTGGCGTGAAAAAATAATGAAAGGCTCTAATAGAGCTCGTTTATAGCAAAACTAGAATTACTTACGAGTCGTAGACAGAGCCTCGTACCGCTGTTCTACGACGATCATCCAGATGACAGCCATTTTGATGGGCACCAGTGCGCCCCCTATAGGTCGTGAAAGTTGCGAATGGTGCCTGTAACGCGTCTCCAACTGGTGTGTTTACCGCGTCCAAAAAAGTGGTCCCTCGATTTCCGCCTGATGACGTCATAGAAGTGTCATGCTGTCGCCGGTCGTGAACCTGGCGGCGTCCCAACAGTTGTGCTGTGTGTAGCAGACGCCTGTTCTGCTGCACGTCGCTTTCCACTGTGACAGTCCCCAGAATTGGGGGGCGCCTGGGAACGCCGTGACGACAGCGACACTCGCGCTCGCTCGTGCTTTTCGCCAGCATTTCTACGGCCAACCGTCCGGATCGCGACAGCCAACAGCATGACACTCCGGCTTCTGTGACGTCATTTGTTGCCACTTGGGGACCACGTTTGATGTATGGGCAGGATAGGACGCTAAACATACCAGTTGGAGACGCGATCCAGGCACCATACTCGTACGTTAGAACGTAGAACTCTAATTGAATGGATGATTGGGCAGACCAAATGCCAGCTGTCTTTTTATCTACTTATAGTTTGAACGCGTTCTTAGAATGAGTCGAGACAAGGGCAGCTGGTTTTGCGTTGCCTACTAATCCTTACAACCAGAGCTCGGTGCTCTCACATCCTATTCCTGTACATTTCTGACGACCGTGCCGCCTTTTTGTTATCATTTCACAAGGACGAGAACGAAATCAAGCAAACGCTTATTCACGAACAAAATATATACTGGGTGTCAAAATTTCAAACTCTATTGTGATCTCAATCCTTCGCATTGAACATATGCCTGATGCTTTGGGCCCGCACTGAGATTTTTTCATGTTGCAGTAGTTATTTTTATTTGAGTTTTTGTCACTGTCATGTGTATTTTGATAATATTTTGAGCTTCAATTATGAGTTATTCGTATTTATTTGTGAAGAGTTTACCTCTTGAACATGACAACCATTACTTTTTCTCATAATTGTGCAACAATTCTTTATGTCTTGTGATTCTCGAATATTCAATAGAGCTGTCATGACTTTTATTGAGTAGGTTCTAAGGTTTAGATTCTTAAAGACGTGCTTATATTTAGTACGCAGGAATATGTTAGAGATTTTTTTGTATGTTTATGTATTTCTCTAAAATGCTGTAGTTGCTGTAAACTAGAGGGTGGTGAGGGGGGGGGGGGGGGGGAGAGGCCTCAGTTAGGCAGAAATGTCCTTTGTATTTCCTTCCATACAGGGCTTGGTCTGTAAAAATTCAATTAAATTTAAAGCTTCATATATTCACGAACTAAGCAACATGGTTACCAATGAATTCCCTCAAAAAAGACTCGACAGCTTCAGAATGTCAGCCGATGTTTTGCTAAGACATTTTTCATTCTCAGGACCTGAGAAAACTGCATTTTTCTGTCACCAAGGTGATAAGAAGGGCAGGGATGTCCTTCAGTTGTCCAGCGCCAAACGATTGCGCATGGTCGAGGCCGACATCAGAAAGATGCGCTCTGTCGTTCTTATTCTCTCCCTAACGCAAGAGAAACGCAGTTCTGTCACCCTGAGGCTTCCAGGATGCTTTTCATTCCAGGGTATGCTTGTATGTGTGTGTCTGTGTGTGCGTGTGGGGAGGTGTACGTGTGTGTTTGTGTGGGTTTTCCCAGAACCGATTTAATGCTAGAGCTCTATTAAAAAAAATAACAGAAAAGTGCAACGCAATTAAAAGTGCTAACGCGTAAATTCCTCCATATGCATAGCTTATGATCTCAATCGGTGCATAATTATACGGATTTGGCGGAATGTTGCAAGAGTCCGGGGTTAAAAGAATCTCACGACCAAACACCCAGGGTAGCTCGAAACACGGCGCGGATTACATGGAACAAAACGAGGAACGGTGAATACTTGGCCAAGCTCGGACGAAGGTCGGGGACGTTCCATCTCCCACTCCAGCGGGGAGCAGACGGCGTTGATGTGGACGGGGTCATCGCCCTCGCTGGGGTCCGCGGGGAGGAACCGACGGCCACGCCGGGCCAAGGAGTACGAGAGGCTACCCACGGCCACCAGGTACCGGAACAGGTAACCCGCACCTATCGGGAAAAACAAACAAGGTATAAAACTTGGTCCTGTGGTATTAGAGAAGGCTACGCACTCAAACATTTTACGTCCGAAAGTCACCTGTGCACTGCTAATACACCACGCAAGAGACAGTGAGCAGACACCTGCCTGAGGTGTTCTTCTTCCTCGTATAAAGTTCCAATTGGTCATACACAAACTGTCTGCAAACATGTTGGAAGCCTATTTGTGTACGAGGGGAACGTGATTCGACCATGCCCGATAAATCTGTCATCATATCTGCTGCGGACACCCTTCATTTTGTACGATGCATTAGGGTGTGACTGCGGTCTTAGAAGTGTAAACGGATTTATCCAGAGACATAGACCCGCGGTAAAAAGCGATACAGTATACTATTTTTATGCCGCCCTTAACGAAGTATACCCAAGGTAAATTTCTAGTATTACGGACCGTGTATTGAACACATACTTTGAGTAGGTGCACCTTAGTGGCCAGACTGAGTCGACTTTGGACATCACTGCTAATATACGAGGTACTTATCCACGTACGTTAAAAGTGTACTTCAAATATTAAAAGTACGCTCAAATCATACTTCTGGTGTACATTTTTTTTAATAAAAGTATAGGATTTGTATGCTATTTTCGTATTGCTTTTCATCTAGGGCACCCATGGTTACACCCTCTCATAGCCCATATTTTGAGTAAAACGTCCAATTTATTCGGAAAAAAAAACGTGCCGTTGCAAGAAACACCCTCACTCGACAAGGTGTAAAACGGGTGTGGGAAGGGCGCTGCTGCGGGAGAGAGTGGATGTGTTCTTTAGGGAAGATCGTTTTAGCGATTATTTTTAATATTCGTTGCCTATTGCAACGTTTTTTTCTCTTTTTTTATTTTTTTTATTCGGTGATACCATTTTTGATTTGTAAAACGTACTGGTACCAATAAGAAAGGGAGCTAAATCAGGGTGGCGTTACCGAAGAAAAAAAAAAGACTCCGGACTGTTTCGTGGTGGTTGTGCTAGGGGTCAACAAAAGAAAAAGCCGTCCATAAAAATTTCTTCCCGTCAACTATTTTTTTCCAGACGCTAATTGAGCTGCGGTCCCAAGTAAAGCGGCAGTACATTCCTAGCACAGCATATACAAGACAGCCTGCGGTCTCGGTATGAGGACCTTGCTTGTATGACCGTCCCCTCGAATTTATCATACTGTCTTTAGTCACGTTCGAAGCATTCATACCTGGGCAATTTCATTGCGAATCATGAGGGAAAACAATTCGTGTATCAAAAACGTTTAAAGAAAAATATATATGCTTGGCAAATTCTTCTTTAGGACAAAACTGAAAGCCATTTTTGCGTCATATATGTTTTGGCTTTCGAGTACACGGCTGCTAAATGACCGAAGAGGGGTTTTCAGTTTTGGACGTTCGTCACAGGCAGGGATGGGCAAAATACATCCAAATATTATCGAAATACAAATACAAAATACTTCGTCAAAATGTATTTAATTACAAATCTAATTACATTTCCAAAAAAGCATTTAAATACAAGATACAAATACAACCAAATGTATTTGGTCTCCTCCAAATACTTTTCCAAATACATTCCTCAAAATTTGCGTCAGCGACTTGAGGGCACCTGCAACGGGTTTCTGGGTATCTCATTTTAATTTTGCATCGCACACTTGGGAGTTAGTGTGCGAGGCTCTAGTAACGTAATAGAAATATAATCACAAAAAATGTAATCAGCTTGGACGTAATAGGTGAAAAAAGTACAGAGCTTTAAGCAGCTTTTTTTGTCAATTACATTTTGGTATAGACCAACAAAGAACCGAGACGACCAAGACGCGCAGCACTAGCTAGAGAATATTTTATTGTTGCAACTCGCACCAGTTACGAAAATCTGGACAAGCCGCGCATTTAGAATGTTCCCGGCAAAAATATGGATGGAAATCAAGCTGTAAAACATCACAAGTTGTCACAGGCACTTAATTATTTAGGCAGTCTGTCTGTGAACGTCGATTTCGTCACTATTTTTGCTTTGGACTACCACCGTAATCACAAAGTTACTGAACACTTGTGCTTGATTGAGAGACACTGCATTCAGTGCAGAACGTAGTTTTCTTTCTGCTCTGGACAGTGACAATAAATTTGAGGGATGTATTTTTGCCCACAAAATTGTATTTAATTACAATTGTATTTGAAATACCCACATTTTAGTATTTAAATACACACGTCAAATACATTACCTAATTTGTAATTAAATACAAATGCAAAATACACAAAGTATTTAAAATACGTATTTTAAATACTTGTATTTGAAATACTGCCCATCCCTGGTCACAGGTTGCGCCTTTTGCGAGCTTCTTTAAGCTCAACAACCTTCCGCGAAAAAAAAAAATCTTTTTACGTGGCTATTACATTAAAAGCAAGGGCTACTCACAAAAGTGTTTTGTTGTTTTTGTATATTTATTTTTAATCCAGAACTTGGCCACTTTGGCGATAATTTACGAGGTTTGAAAGATGAGAACCTTTTTAACAGTCAGTTTTATGGCATAAATTATATATCAAATAAAAACTTAAACAAATACCTCGTGGCGAAAGCGATTCAACGAGCACAATATGGATATAATATTGGCGAAAACGGCTTGAATAGAAGACGACACCCTAAAAGAACAAATTTCAACATCAATTTTCACAAACATACCATTCTTAAATATTTCAGTGTTTTTCGTATGAAGAGCCCTCGTTATGGTCTAAAACATCTAATAAAAATTATTATATGGTTTGGACATTGAGATGCTTACATCTAAATGGACGAAAATATTCAAATTCTATTTTAAGATGCGAAGTTTGGTCGTCGTCATTTGAATGCATATTAATTAATTAATTATTGGCACCATGGCAGAATACTTGGTGTCTTCGATTTAACACACAGTTAAAGTAAATCTATTCCTAAGCCATATTCTAGATTTATTAAAATATTTTTTTGCAATTTGAATCGCGTTTAGTGACCTTTGAGCCTCGAAGTAAGAAGAATAAGGGTTTCCACTCGGCGGGAGGATGTTGTCAAGCTAAGTTACTATCCTCAATCCAGGTTTGACATCACTCGACGTTTTAACCTTTCAGAGAAAACGTGCTCTTGTTCCCAAAAGAATTGAATTTTCCAGCGTTCGCTGGAGATGGCCTCCTCTACAGCGTTCGCTCTGCTTGAATGGAAATAGGTGAGACGAGTTTCCCCTAAACTCTTCACCTGTCACAGTCTATAGTGATGGTTTGTTACAAGAAATGTACTAGGCGAGGGGCTATGTCACTATCCCGTAACCGGATTTAACATCACTCGGGTTTTAGTCTTTTCGTAAGGCAAACCCGTATGCGCCTAAAAGATAAAATTATTTACAAGTTTGAAATGTTTACTTTTTGGCATTCTGGGCTATGTTCAGTACTTTTCATGAATATGACTCTATTAGTAAGTAAAATGTTACTTTTCATTCGGCGAAAGGCTCTTGTACAGAGACCCGATTTCAATCAATCAATCAATTTTATCTAGTTGGAGCTGCGTGCAACATAGAGTTGCATAAATTTTGTTTCTACTCACGCTGAGGCCATGTCACGTACTACGAAGTATCGCACGAGTCTATCGTCTGCACCGAGGGGAAGAGCAACGGAAGTTGTATTGATTCTTTGTCTGATTGAGATTAATGTGGTACTTCCCGAGAGGCGGTTTTTGGTGTGATGACTAAATATTGTCACAAATATAAAGAAGAGGACAAATATACCGTATTTACTCGAGTAATAGCCGCACTGTTTCAGGAGAAAACCCGAGTGTTCGCTTTTCCGCGGAGCACGCAGATAGCCAATCACCGCGATCTACAGCGTGAGTTCAGCTGTTTAGAGGACAGAGACAACGTTTTCGTGCGAAGATACCATTTGTATAGATTGCATTTGTAGGAAGAATCGTGTTCTCGATCTGGTTATTCATTACGTTATTTATGCGCAACGCAATGATTGGCTGTATTTGTGTCCTGTGGGAAAGCAGACGCAAAATGCCTTGTTCATAAATAGTGCGCCTATTACTCGAGTAAATGCGATAATACTGAAAATAAAAGTTTAATAAGGCAAGCTTGTCGTTGTAAGAAAGTAAACAAAGCTACTCATTATGTGTCGTTCACGGGACTGCGACCAAAACAAAGCAGCGCTCAACGGCTGCTACTACACACGTTGTTGTTTTTTTTTTTTTGTTTTTTTTTAAGAAGAATTTAGACGAGAACATTCAGCGATTACCTAAAAGTACAAGGATCGTTCCAGAACGTCAGTGAAAGGCGAAGTATGAAATAAGTGAAAGATGTTCAAACGCAGTGCCTCCTCGTGAGAGTCGCGTGTGATGCCAAGTCGCCTTTCAGGTGGCAAGATGCAAGGCAGTGATACATATTCATTGTGAAGATGTTGATGGTCTAGTAAAATAACTATCAACCCTAAACACCGGTTTAAACCCCGGGCCCTATGACTGTGATATAGGCCTTATTTATTTATCAGTACTGCTTCAAAACTTGCTGTTTAATACATGTTGACTTTGTGCGTAACGATCATCGGAATGTCAATCGCAAGCCATGACAGAGTTGGCGGCTTTCCCATCAATTATTCGGAGCAGTGTTTTCTTACCTTAAATATAATTTCTTTATATTTACTCCTTTATGTAAAAGATGTTTTACCTTAAATATAAGAAATTTATTCATAAACGTATAACTAATGACTTTCATCAAATATTTACGGCTTCACGGCACGGGTTTATTACGGGAAGGTCAGGTGAAACCAACTTGTGTTCCATTTTAAGTGTCGCTGCACCCGTGGTTACGAACAGAGACAGGTAGATGCCATTTAATTTTATATGTCTAAATCATTCGATAAAGTTGATCATGAGCTATTGCTCCACAAATATGGTTATCCGGTTGTTGTTCTGAACTACTTCGCTGTTTTCAAAGCTATTTGTCATGTCGTACGAATCATGTTCGAATTCCTAG